AAGACAAAAAAAATCTAATTTTATCTTCAAAAAAAAAAAAAAATAATTTAAGTGTTTTTTGAAATTCCATGGGCAACACCTAGCACTTAAGCTAGTATAACTTATTTCTAATGAGGCTAGAGTTGGCAGAATAGATTGAATATGGTTCTACAACATTTACATCAACCTTTTAAATAAAAAATAAAGAAATACCGTTTACAAATTAAATTAAACATTAATTTGTAATAAAGCAACAAGATAAATAAATAAAATTATTTGATATATTATACAAAACATATATTGTATATATCATGTTTAGAATTCACATTGATGTAATCTATTTCATTTTGTACAAAGCAGTTCCCCCTTCCCATTGAATTAGATAATAAACAAGCAGGGCCGGATATTTTATAAAATCCGCAAAATTAAAATAAAATGTTTTTGTTTAAATTCTTTTGATTGCTTTATACCTAAGGATGGTCCTATGTTGCATGAACCTGAATTCTAAGTCCATCATGCAATATCTACGTCTTTGTAAGGTGCACACAAAACCCCGGAGCGCGCAGTCTAAGTCAGACAGGGGAGCTTCAACACGAGCCAGGCTTCAGGCGCACTTTAGAAGTCTGCGATGCCTTCCTATCCGACGTCAGTATCTCTCAGAGCCTTGTTTTAAGCACTTCCGGCCCGCGGTCTTTTGTTTCCGGTGACGCAAACAAGTGATAAAACGAGCAAGGTATATTTTATATTCTTGACAAAAAATCATTTAAACCCCAAATGTTAAGGTTAAAAACATTTCAATTAAAATTCATAGTTCATTAAAAAAACTATTTAGATTGTTTTTTTAGAAATATTAACTGTAATTAATTTTCAGCTTACAAAGGGAACAAAATGGCAATCAAAGAAAATTCCGATAAAAGAGATAAAAAAGGTAAAATATTTTAGATTACTTTTTCATTTTTTGTTTAATTCTGAAGGGATAAGTACATAATATTTGATGTGAATCAGAAATTTATATCGAGAATTAATTAAACATTTGCTAGTGTTTGGGACAAAAATAATACTGTCAATAAATTGGTTTTTCAAGTAATTCGTTAGAAATATATATTTTTTTTCTGAGTTATGATTTGATTTTGCCTTTTCCGATCTGAATTTTAAGCTAGGGAAAAAAGTGGTAGGTTTCTAAAATTTTACATTTTGATTGTAATAAAAAGTAGCTTTTCAATGCTTTTGGCACAGATTTTTAAAAGATTTCATAATGATAAAAACTAATAATAATAATAATAATAAAAGCTGTTTCAAAATTATTTCTAATTGCGTAACTTTTTTTTTAAAGGCCTTTTACCACTGAAATTTGAAAGTGAAGATAGTTGTGTGTGTGGGGGGGGGGGGAATCTTTAAGATGCATTTTGGTTTAAGAAATTTACCATTACGATATAAAAAGATAAAATTTCAAACCATCATCAATAAGAGAAACCGATCTTTCTTTAGCATCAAAAGGAATAACAAGAAAGAATATTTATATTTGTTTTTACACAGCGGGACCCATAAAACTATGGAATAGGAAGACGACTGTTAGACACAACTTTTATGATGTTAAAATAATTGTGCAGCGTAGCGTACACAGACCCATTACATGGAAGAAGTTGATATTAAAACTGTTTGCTTTAGAACATCAAATTCACAAAGATTGTTTGAATTTGGTCCACAGTTTTAAGAGTGACTTTATGACTTTATGACTTTATTCTTATTTCAGCTAATGTTTACATTTTGTCTAAGTGATTGTTTTAAAGACTTTGTGTTATATAAGAGTCTGAAAGATGGAGCTTTTTGCCGAGTTTTTGGTTGAAAAGTATTTACTCTGAACGTAATGTAATAAATCATGACTAACTGTAAATATTGTTTTAAGCACGATAAATTCAATTTAGATTGATCAGACATTGGTAAATATACTCTTAGCAGGATCCATAGAACTGTAGAATAGGAAGACGATATTTAAGGTTTCTACAGTGGGATCCATAGAACTGTAGAATAGTAAGACGATATTTAAGCAATCTTTTGTGTATTAGATGTTATTAGTAAGGTATAAGTTTACCATTCAATTGCTTGAATATCAACTTTTTATGGAAGGTTTGTGTCTACACTTGACAAGGGCACTGGACTATTAAAAACTATAACATGAGTCTAACAGTTGTCTTCTTATTCCACAATTTTTTTTTGGCAATGATGAGAATATTTTTTTAATTAGTTTGTTTGTTTACATTTAGCTTTGTTGACCCCTCCCCCCATTCCTTCGGGTTGTTGTTTAATTTGGAAAACAATTCGGAAGGTTATGATTATGTCCGGTGTGTGTGTGGGGGGGAGTGGGGAGGAAATGGTTGGGGATAGATATATAATAATAAAAGCTGTTTCAAAATTATTTCTAATTGCGTAACTTTTTTTTTAAAGGCCTTTTACCACTGAAATTTGAAAGTGAAGATAGTTGTGTCTCGCTGTTATTAAGTAAGGTGGGAGGGGCGTGAAACCACTATATCAGGGTTGAAAAGGGCGGGGTTTAATCTAGTAGTCCCTCATCAGGGACATTAAAGGTGGAAAAAAATGAGAGAGGGAGGGATTCGGACGGAGAAAAGTGGGGAGGGGGGGGGAATGGAAAATTTAAGAATACAAATCACGAATATATATTAGTTAAGGAATGGTGTAGTTGCCACAAACTCTGATTTTCCAATTCATTTATCTTTGTAACCCAACGTTGCATACCTTGGATATTTCAAACTACATATATGAATTCTGTTAGATAAAATAAAGTCTTAAATATTAAAAGGTTTACAACATCAGGTTACAAAAAATAAGGAAGAGAAAATTTCGGTTTGTGGCAAAGACTCAATTCCTTTGAATGAAAAATAATGAAAATTGAAAGATTTAAAGAAAGAAGAGAAGAAAAAAAAGCAAAAATGGTGAAATGTTAGATTAGGTTCAAGGAAAATTGGGAACGTTTTAAGAAAGTTGGAGAATTAGAAGGAAGGTTTGAGTGTAGGTGGAAGGTTGGAGGAGTAGTAGGAAGGTTTAAGTGTAGGTGGAAGGTTGGAGGAGTAGTAAGAAGGTTGGAGGAGTAGTAGGAAGGTTGGAGGAGTAATAGGAAGGTTGGAGGAGTAGTAGGAAGGTTGGAGGAGTAGTAGGAAGGTTGGAGGAGTAGTAGGAAGATTGGAGGAGTAGTAGCAAGGTTGGAGGAGTAGTAGGAAGGTTGGAGGAGTAGTAGGAAGGCTGGAGGGTTCAAAAAAAGTTAAAAGGGAAAAAATATTTGCGAGGAATAAAAAAGTGATGGGAAGGAAAAATATTGGATGGGAAGTAAAAAGGCTTGAGGGAAGGAAAAAGGTTGGAAGGACGGGAAAAGGTTGGAGGGAAGGAAAAAGTTTGGAGGGAAGGAAAAAGGCTGGAGGGAAGGAAAAAGTTGGAAGGAAGGAAAAAGGTTGGAGGGAAGGAAAAAGGCTGTAGGGAAGGAAAAAGGCTGTAGGGAAGGAAAAAGGAAAAATATTTGATAATTTGGAAGGTTGAGGATGAATCAGTGTAACGAATTGCATACAAGGGGGGCTTAGGGCGTATACAATAAATAGGAAATGTTTTAGACAAGACAAAATGGATAATTTTACCCAGGCTGTTTTATGGTTTACACCCTTCCTATCAACCTTCTTCCTAACAACCTTCTTCCTAACAAAATCCTTCCTTACAACCTTCTTCCTAACAACCTTCTTCCTAAAAACCTCCTGCCTAATAACCTTCTTCCTAACAAACTTCTTCCTAACAACCTTCTTCCTAAAAACCTCCTGCCTGATAACCTTCTTCCTAACAAACTTCTGCCTAACAACCTTCTTCCTAACAACGTTCTTTCTAGCAACCTTCTTCCTAGCAACCTTCTTCCTAACAACCTTCTTTCTAACAATCATCTTCCAGACAACCTTCTTCCCAGGAACCTTCTTTCTAATAACCTTCTGCCTGACAAACTTCTGCCTAACAACCAATTCTTTCTAAAAACCTCCTGCCTAATAACCATCTTCCTAACAAACTTCTGCCTAACAACCTTCTTCCTAACAACCCTCTTTCTGGCAACCTTCTTCCTAGCAACCTTCTTCCTAACAACCTTCTTTCTAACAATCATCTTCCAGACAACCTTCTTCCCAGCAACCTTCTTTCTAACAACCTTCTTCTTAAAAACCTCCTGCCTAATAACCTTCTTCCTAACAAACTTCTGCCTAAAAACCTTCTTTCTAACAACCTTCTTCCTAGCAACCTTCTTCATAACAACCTTCTTTCTAACAATTTTAGTCTGTATAACCTTCAATTTTTACCAATTTTTCTAGCACTTTTTTAAAAAATGTCAGCAAATGCGCGAATTTTTAATTTTTCTTCATATTATGCTATTTTTAACAAGGTGACTTTCTATCTATCTCCTAAAAATCCCCTATTATCTCCCAAACCAAATTTTCCGCTCTCCTCTTTATTTAATTTCTAATTATGTCAAAAAATTGTACACCCTGTACACCCTGTACACCCTGTAAACCCTGTACACCCTGTACACCCTGTAGGGTAGTCGGTATAAACTCAGTTTAACCACATTAACTCAATCCTTTGTCCATCGTGGGATTTTAATAGATAGATAGATAGACATGTATCTTGGTAGATTAGTTTCAGTACACTTGATTTTAGACATACCAGTATACCTTGGTTGGTAGATGTTTCTTTAATGTAAGAGTAGACATACATTGCTTTTAGACAGATAAGTTGATTTTAGACAAAAATTCTGAACTTATAAGAATTTATAGCATACAAAAAGTTTGATTTTTCTATAAATAAGTAAACTTAAGCAAATAGGTCGATATTTAGTTAGACATGAATAAATTGTTTTGAAGAAAATATGTGGTTTTGTAGTTCTTATAAAGTTGCAAGACGGGGTTGTTTGGTCTGACATCTTTAAAATTAAACAAAAAATCTTTTTATGTAATACACATAAAAGAAACTTTATTGCAAAATAAAAACTTCAATTCATATTTGGCTTAGGATGATATATATTTAGAAAATTGAATAAAAGTTCAAAGAAACCTTTTTTATTAAAAATTTGACTTCGGGTAATAAAATGTTCCCAGGTTTTATCCTCCTCCCCCCCCTTTATATCTGTCTGTCTAAATACCTAGATTTTATATTTTTATGAAATCAAGAAAATGTGACATTTTGTTTTGTAAATGTTAAACCCAGTGAAACAGAAAGTGCTTTATCTGTTCTGCTCTGCGACTTTCGGAAGTTTGAACCAAAACAATTTTAAGAAATAAAAATCATTTCATACGAGGTTAACTCCTCTTTTTCAGGGTCGGAGTTGGGGGGGGGGGGGCGTAATACTTTAAATTATTGTTTAGTTCACATAATATTGAATTTAATGTTTTCTCTTGAATCAATTCTAACTGTTCATGATTGAAGCAAGACAAGGAAAAGTTTGTCTATCTAATAATGTTAATTATTATGGACAATTTAAATCTGGGAACTCTGGAGGCACACTTTAATCATTTTCATTTATTTTCAGGTCATGGTGGAGTAAACCAACTCGGAGGTTGCTTTGTCAACGGTCGACCTCTACCTGATGTTGTTCGACAGAGGATTGTCGAGTTAGCCCACCAAGGAGTTCGACCCTGTGATATTAGCCGACAGCTCAGAGTCTCACATGGCTGTGTTTCTAAAATACTCTCTAGATATTATGAAACTGGAAATTTCAAAGCCGGGGTTATCGGAGGAAGCAAACCAAAAGTTGCCACCCCTCATGTAGTGAACGCAATCGCAAAGTACAAGAGGGAGAACCCAACGATGTTCGCTTGGGAGATCAGGGACAGGTTGGTCACCGACGGGGTGTGTCGTAAAGACGGAGTGCCGAGTGTCTCGAGTATAAACAGGATTGTACGGAACCGAACTCTGATGCGAGGAGTTGCAGAAGATTTCTCAGATAATTCGGAGGATTACAAACCTGAACTCCACAATCAAAATATCTACTCCCCCACATCATACTCACCCTACTCCCCCTCAACATACTCCCCCCAGGCACTCCCCTTCTCCCCCAACACCTCTTTCTCTCCCCAACCCAGCTCTCAGTCTCCCAACCCTCCTCAGTACTCTAATCAGTCTCAGTATCAACCCCAGTCTAATCAATCCATGGTTTACTCTGAAAAGCAGAATCATTCGATCAATTATTCAGAAAAACCGTCCCAGTCGATCAGTTACTCGGATAAACCGACTCACTCGATCAATTACTCGATCAACAACCTGCTGAGCTTCAAGGAGATGGAATCCGGGTTGAAGACCGAGATAGAGGAGGAGGAGAGGATGAAGACTGATAAACCTGCTGAAGGATCTGCTCCTATCCTTCTCTCGAGTATCCTTGAACCCTTCCAGGAGAACATGATCAATGTTCAACCCTACCACATAGATTCCTTCCAGCTCCTTCCTCCCCCTCCACAGTACTCGGAGAAGGGGAATGAATACCATTACTACTTAGGTAAACTTTTTTGATTTATGATTTCTTGGTCTTTATATTATCATATTTCCGTTTTCATCTTTTTCCTGGACAGTTGTAAATTTTTTTGCTTCTTTACTGTGTATTTTATAATTGTGGTGATGGTTTTAGTGATTGTTATTTTACATTTTGCGGATTTTGCTGGCAGTGATTGATTGCGTGGTTTTATGAATCCGGTTTCCCGGATTTCTTGCAAAATTCAAGTTTTAACAGATTTTTTTTCAGGTGGTTTAGATGAGGATGGGCAGAAATATGTATCTCTGGATCTCTCCACAATGGAAGGAAATGTTCCGGAAGTTCCGGTCCGAATCCTTGAGCTTCCGGAACCAGGGTATCATGATCTTCGTCCCGCCGTGAAGGATTCAGAGCTTGACAGAATAATTTCTATCCCACACTCTGACCAGCTTGCTATATCTGACTCTTATTACGGTAAATATTTGCCATTATTACATTTCATTACATTGATCAATTAATTGTTTCCTTCTTTTAATTATTATTTTGCATGATATCTATTTTATTTTGTTTAGGGCTGAGCTCTTACTTCAAGGATTACTCCTCTGCTCCCTACTATTCTACAGCACAAACTCAGTAGAAAACTAGATTCAGTAGAAACCCCGAAATTTACATTTTACAGCATTAAAATTTACACCTACTGATTGGGCCCAAATTAAAGCAATTTATGTAAATAAGCGGCAATCACGGCAATTTCCCAATTTCTTGAATGCAATCTGATCTGACAAAGGACAAATAAACCCACGGGCTGTATCTATCTAATATCTCATGTATATTATTGTAAAGTACAATTCAAACTATAAAAAGACAACAAAATCGAGCTTTTTTCAAGGATCGTTGCTTTGGGATTTGAGCTTTAACCATGGATTGAGAACTTGAATAAATCACGCACCAAAGAAAAACCAAACAGGCATGAAGGCTTCAAGGCCCTAGTGCCGCTTATATATAGTGCTTTATTGTGATAAAAACATTTATTTATCTATATGATTGTAAATAGACAACTTAATTAAGTTTATTATTAATGTTAAGCAATGTTAATCAAATTTTTTATTATTTTGAATCTGATTGTTATAAAAAAACTTAATCTTAATGCAAATTTTAACCATATTAAATCAATTGAATAATCCCCAACCTTGTCTTTCTCATTAGTGGATGCCTACATTTTAGTTTTAATAAGTTCTTGCCACTTACTCTGATTTATAAACTTCTTTATCTCTGCAGCCCGAGGTCGCAGATTGTTCATATTATAAACCATGAATTCTGTTTGATCAAATAATCTAAGTTGATTTGAATAATTTAACTTGATAAGTTTTTGTCACACTTTTAACCAATAATTTCCAATTAACAATTTCTTGTCACAAATTAAAGCAATGAATCCCAGTTGACTGTAAATACTCTAGTGCATGCTTGAATACTTGTAATTATACGTAATCAGTATTATGCTTATTATCAAATATATGATATACGTCCAATATATAATGTAATCATTAATGTTAATGCGAGAGGTAGTGTCGTTGATTAGAATGAGTGGTGTAGCATCGGTGATTAGGATGATTGGTGTTGTGTCGGTGATTAGGATGAGTGGTGTAGCATCGGTGATTAGGATGAGTGGTGTAGTGTTGGCGATTAGGATGAGTGGTGAAGTGTCGGTGTTTAGGATGAATATATCGAAGTGTCGGTGACTTGAATTGTATCAGAGGTTTTTGTGTCGGTTACTTGAATTGTATCGGAGGTTTTAGTATCGGTGACTTAAAATGTATCGGAATATTTTTGTGTCGGTGACTTGAAATGTATCGGAGGTTTTTTTGTGTCGGTGACTTGAGTTTTAACGGAGGTTTGTGTTGGTGACTGAAATCGTATACGAAGGTTTTTGTGTCGGTGACTTAAATTGTATCGGAGGTTTTGATGTCAGTGACTTAAATTGTATCGGAGCTTTTTGTATTATTCAGCAGGGACTTAAATTGTATAAAATAGAGCAGTTTTTTGGGATCTAACTTATAAGCTTAAAGCGTTCAGAAAAATATTAATGTTTAAAAAATATTTGTTTCTTGGAAAGCTATTGATCAGAAAAAGGAAATCGATGAGAATTTTCCCAATGCTAAAGTTAAATACAGGTGCTTTATGTTTTAGAATGTACATGTTAAGGGCTACAAAAAATTGTGACTCAGTCAGCGAGGTAAAGACCAAAACCGAAAAGTTTCAACTGCAATTGCATGAAATAATTGATCAAATATAAAATCTGCCAATTTCCTTGATTGTATGTGCAGCATAAATCCGCAAGTAACTTTTATTCAGAGACAGTTTACAAACTTTATAAATTTTCTGATGAAAAAACAAGTATATGTCCATCTCTATTTAAATTATGTTGACAGTCCCTTTAAGGGTTGAAGTGGGGTTTACATGTTTGTTTATAATCATATACCGAGCGTGTTATGTATTATAACGGAGAACATAAGTTGCAATCGCCTGAGGGAAACCAATTATATAATTGTTGCAACCACCAATTGACGGAGTTGACGAATGAATAATATATGCTTATAATTCAACCCCCTCCCCCCTGACCACACGTTTACCTTACCGCCCTCTCCTTCCCCTTTCTTCCTTCCTCACTTCCTTTCCCCTTCCTGATAGTGCTTTTCCTTTTCCGTTAGATCCCCCGGATCTTTCTTGTTTTATGCTTATCTATAGAAGTCAGAACTATTGTGTTGTTAATCTCGGGATCATAGAGTAATAAAGAGTTGAAGAGAAGAAACAATAAAAAATGTTTGAAATAAGAATGTTTTCAGTTAAATTCATGCCCTAGAAACTTAATATTTTTGACAAAACTTTTAGTCAATAAATTGAAAACCTGAACATTTGAAAATTGTCAAATGTTTTCAGTCAACATCCTCGAATTCTCTTCGTATAAAGAAAGAAAATCTAAAAATTGGTCAATTTCATAAAATCTCTCTTAAGAAATACTATCGCTCTTTATACAAGTGTACAGCGTTAGATACGTAAACATATCGTGATGTACACAACCAACCTCCCTATGAATTAATTAATAGGGAGGTTGGTAGTGTACATCTGAGCTAAGCTTCACCTCTTCGTTTTATTACTCTATGCTCGGGATCAAGTATTGATCTCCATCTTCTGCAGATCTGCAGTTTCATTAGATCCTTCATCGAAATCCCGTGATGTTCATACCCTGAAGGGACAACCTAAATTGAGGAATCAAGCATTGATCCGTGAATTTAAGACTATTGAATATCGAGATCAAGTTTTCAAGATTAACCATATCCACACATAAGTTCTGATCTTTGACCATATTTCCCCTTCTAGTTATATAAAGCTGCTATGTATGTCACAAGAATATACGCCTCTCTTCTCCCTCTTCCCTCCTTTATGTCCGGTGTCCGGATGGGAATATACGCCTCTCTTCTCCCTCCTCCCTCCTTTATGTCCGGTGTCCGGATGGGAATATACGCCTCTCTTCTCCCTCCTCCCTCCTTTATGTCCGGTGTCCGGATGGTAATATACGCCTCTCTTCTCCCTCTTCCCTCCTTTATGTCCAGTGTCCGGATGGAAATATACGCCTCTCTTCTCCCTCCTCCCTCCTTTATGTCCAGTGTCCAGATGGGAATATTACTCCATGCGCTCTTATTCAAAATAGCCCATAACTTTTTTGTTATTCAAGCTACAGATATAATTTAAATCTGCATTCTTGAAAAGCTATTGAAAAATCTTACTGTTTGTAAAAACAAAAGTTAAAAAAAATAATTGTTCGACCTTTTTTTACCATTTTTTAAAACCCCCTCTTCCAACTTTTTAAGTGGCCTAAGTTTTTTTATGAGTTGGCCTTGAAAAGTTGGGCTTTGAACATGTGTTGCTACTTTCCTTAACTGTAAAGCTCTTTCTAGGAGGGGGAGCTTGGGACTTTGATAATTTTTAAACCGAAAAATTTGGGAAAAAATCGATAATTGCTGATCATATTTGGTCCAAAAACTGCAAAACCAGTTTCTCAATGTGTCGGTGACGTAGCATAGTTGGGTTGATTTATCAGATCTCCTGACAGAAACATTGAATAGAAATAAAAGAAGGGCTGATCAATTTACGATTCAGTTAGTGTTCATTTTTTACGACCTTGGTCTTTGTTTGCCTTGGACTTTCTGCAAACAAGTTTAGGGTTTAAAAAATAACTCTTTGTCATTTTTTGTTTGATAGATGAAGTATATTATGACTAAGGTATGAGGTAAGGCAGGTGCCTAGTTTGAAGACTATAGAATCTGCATGAGTGAGAAAACTGGACAAAATTCTCTCACTCTTACAGCTTGATATTCGGCGGCGGTATTTTACTTCACAAACAGTCTAGTGGACTAACCAATTATATTTAAAGGAAGACGAGAGAACAAGGCAAAATTGCGCATTTTTTTACGTAAACTAGAAACATTTTTTAAAGCAGAGGATAATATTTAACGAGGTTTCTGTTAATGGACATTTCACGGAGTTACTCTCACGATTTTGCAACCTCGTAACTTACGCTTTAATTCTACGTGTTCAAAAAGAACCAGAAAACGGAAAAGGAAGACGACATTGAAAAAATATTGTTGTGTATTTTCTGGTGTGTGCAGTGTATTTTATATTGTGTGCAAGGTAAAAAATTTAGGTTTTGTATCTAAAAGATGACTGTTTTAATAAAATGGTCTGTGCTCACTACCAAATTGCTGCTCATGTTCAATTTCTATTTAAACTCAGAACGGGACTGTAAGCGTAATTTCAAGTGACCTTCCATGAAAAGATTGCAATGAGCTTTGTTTATTCAAGCTAGAATTAGATATGCATTTAAACTGTTTATTTTCATTTGCGGCTTATCCGCTAAAGTGACAAAAGCAGTTTTTGAATGAGGAGAAAGCGGGAAACAGAAGTAAGCACGTTTCGAGTCAGGAAAACGACGGTATCATTTTTGATCAGATTAAGGTTTCAAGGATACCGATGTAAATCGGGTATTGCCAACTTTGTAGAGAGGGTCACTCAAAATATCGCATACAGTCCCTTTAGGTCTAAAATTCATCTTTCAACTCCAGAACTTTCTGGTTCTTACTGATTTTAAATATTACAGTATAGCAAGAATAAATTGTTCTAATTTCTCAAAAATCAATGAAATTTATTATAGAGAATACAAAATTAGGTTAATTAAAGAGACTGTCTTTGTAATTTTAAGTTATCCTCCATTTGCCCATCCGTTAGCAAAAGGCAATAGTTGTAGATTCGTTTTACAGAAAATTTTGATATTTTTAGACTTTTACAAGGTTTTACGACAATCTGAGAAGGGTCCACCGATCTAAAATTGTATTCTGTAAAAGATTGCTTTTATCAAACATGCAAATTTGGACACCCTGTAGGTGAAAAAATAAGGCAAAAACGAACCTAAAAACTATCGTTTTATAAACCCAAAACGATAGTTTTAAAACTGTATTTTTTGCCGTATATTTTATTCTAGGGTAACAAATTTGAATGTTTGATAAAAGCAAACATCTACATAATAAAGTTTTAAAATGTTGGAACCTTCTCAATTTGTCGTAAACCTTCTGAAAGTATAAAAACGACCTTACCAACGGTAACCTAGAATTTTAAAGATTATATTACAGTAAAACCCTTAATAAAGAATACATCGGAAGAATTTATCAAATGTTGTCTTGACAATTTTTCAATGAGTTTTATATTACGTTAATTTCAATATTTGCGAAAATAAATAAATAGCCAAGAATATGCGGGAACAGTTTTAAAGATTTCTATATAATCATTTAATTAAAAACTAAATTTCTGCAACATTCCATTATCAGAAAGTGAAGAATACGACATTTGATGAATTCTTTCGATGTATTCGTTATTAAGGGTTTCACTGTATTTTTTTTCTGTCAAAAATTTACAATTTTCATTCATGGTTTTACTGTAGAGTCATTTGCTAATTTATGCCGCATACAGACGAAACGAAATTGAAGGAATTGAAGGAATTGAACACTTTTTAAGAGTTACGTTGCTCAAAAGGTATAATGGCAGTGTTATAATATACAGAAGTGCAAATTTTAATTGAAGGGCAGTTTCACAGTGGACAATGGGGGGGGGGGTCACTTGAAATTCAGTGAAAATCCCTTTTAAGGCCAAAGGAGTTACATTTTTGTCACAAGCTTTGATTTTATAATCCTTATATCTTTGCAACCCGATGTCGTAGATCTTTAATATTTTCATATTTCAAACTATAAATTCTGTTTTTGAACAAATATATTGATTGCACCATCAGGTAGCAAAGATAAAGGGATTCGCAAGTTTGTGGCAAAAAATCAGTTCATTTATGCAAATATTTTCCGATATATTGTTTCATACAATAGACGAAACTCATGAATACCACATGCACACATTTTGATCTATTTAACGAAAAACAACATTGAAATTTTTTTAACCAACATTTTGTTTAAGGATTAGTTTACTTAAAATTTTCTTTAAAAAATTATTTTGATTAGATTTTAGGTTCCAGGTATTTTCCGTTCTAGGGAAAAATTAGATGTTTCGGGGGAAAAAATTGATTTTTTGGGGAAAAAAATTGATTATATGGGAAAAAAACAAATCTTGCAAATTGAAATAACATAAAAAATAAAAAATATTCACAACGCAGATGGTTGATTTTTTGGGGCAGTTCATCTCTTTCAAAACCGGGAACTTCAACTTCGATTTAAATTGATCTAATACAGATAATAATTCCTTTCAAAAAGGAATTTTCCAATAATTTTCATAAGAAATTTTTGCAAAAGTTAAATTGATAGTATACTGGCAAAATTCAAATGTTTAACACAATATACATATCTAATTAAGTTTTAACCCCTTTCTAGACTTAAAAAAAACTTACTTCCTCAATTAAAAAAAAACTTGAAAAAAACTGTTTCTGCACCGTATTGTGGTGAGTAGGGCAGGTGTAGTAGTTTAATTGTGCCGGAGTTCACCTGTCCCGGGTCCATCTTAAAAACATCGAGTTTGCAACCCGGATACGCTTCCGTATACCGAGTCCAGCTCTTCCGGACTGAATAACACGGTGTTTTCAGAAGTTAAGGGGGGGGCTGAGCAACAGTTCTCTTCTTCTTTTCTTCTCGGGACCGGATAGGGCGGACTGTGCACCCGTCAAAGGGCGCGCGCGTGCCGGATATAAATATTCATAAACCGGATATGAATATTCTTATACCGGATATCAAAGTTGTCATAAATTGCTTTTTTAATCAAAGATACCTCTAAGAAAGTCCAGTTTTGGATTGTTTACCGACATAGGGTTTAACGACTTAGGGTCAAACGACCTAGGGTCAAACGACCTATGGTCAAACGACATAGGGTCAAACGATAAACGGTCAAAAACGCGACAAAGGGTGAAAATGGAACAAAAATATTTTACGAATTATTTCAGGGTGAGGTTAGGTTAAGACAATTTCTGGGCCGAGCGGCTAGGACAGAATATTGGGGCCAAGTACTGCGGCAAGTAGTTTAAATGAACTTAAAAACATAACATAAAAATATGTATTGTTTCAGGGTTAGATTAGGTTAGGTTAGATTTCATGGTCGATAGCTGCGGCTAGGACTGGCTAGGTGACCGAGCGCTACGACTACTAGTTCTAATGAACATGAAAATAGTTCAAATTAACCAAAAATAATCTAAATGAAATTTTGCCCGTTTGTCGCACTTTTTGACCCTATGTCGTTGTACCATTTGTCGCGTTTTTGACCTTTTGTCGTTTGACCCTTGGTCGTTTTACACTATGTCGTTTGAGCCTATGGCATTTGACCCTAGGACGTTTGACACTATGTCGGTGAATCGAAATAGAGTGTATAAAGTTAGACAGTTTATCTAAGGTTTTGATATAAAATGTTTTGTAACAGTTTATTGGAAAGTTGGGGCCCTTCTCCAGGGTTAATTATCTCTTAGACAAATACACTTTTCGTGCAAATTTTGATCTTTCAAATTATTCTTTTTAATTTTGTAGTGATTACAAAGTTGCAGAAGGAGCATTCAATTTTGAAATTTGTAAATATCTTAAGATTTATTCCAAGCCATTTTAAAATCGTATATAACCTTGAATATTTTAAAACAAACCAAAAATCAATGCCCATCTCTAATGGAAGGTCAAATTCATATAATAATGGTTAAACAAAAGTTCATGATTTGAAACCTATTTAATTTAATATGTTAAACCAAATTTACGAAAATTGAAAATCCATGAATTGCTTAAAATGAGAAAAACTAAATTGACCAATTAAGATGTACAACCTATAACCCTATCTTGCAGTGTGTCGTAAAAACATGCGTTTTCAGACGTTCGAAAAGAAACAATCATTTTTGTTCATTTTTGAGAAGACATTTTTTTATTGGTACACAAATTTTCGTTTTTTACAGGTTTTTTTTTAAATGTTAGGTTTAAAATTCCAACTGGAAAGTGGACACCCTTTTTACCGTCTCTATGAGAATTATTTCGTATTATTAACAAGTATATTAGGAACCCATTTCAATAATATTTGGCATTAACCGCTCATTTCAATATTCTTTATGGAAATATTTAAGGGAGGAGGGGGAGTATTTTGCACAAATTCGCAAATATACTAGCCCTTACTAGGACGACAAGGAATTGCTTTAGATACAAATTATTAAATGGATGATATTAATTGTATCTATATATCTTTAAAGTTGTAATCTCTGTTTGTCTGTTTGTTTGTTTGTCCGAATTCCTTGACGAGTTGCCTCAACTTTTGATTGGGGAACTCGGGAGAATCACGGGAATGTTCTTAGCCTGGTTTAAAGGCTCTAAGTTGAGTGGTTTTACTTTTATAGCTAAAATCTAGTTTCCCGGTAAAATCGACCTAGTGCGGGTAAACGGCGGTATAAACCTGGGCAGCACCGAGCTAATCCTTAATAAAAGCACAAAAAATATTTTTTGTTTTGTTTATTATGAAATAAATAAATAACCTGGCGAACTTCTTTTTGTGTTCTTCCAGTTTATGTGTGCGGTAATAAACATTATTTGATTTGAAATGTCGCTCAGGAGGTTTTTCCATTTTTAACTATACCAATCAACATTTTTAGAGATATATCACTAATACAAACTACAAAAACTTGTAATTGTATGATAGAGGGACTCATTTCCCCCATTCAGTATTATTGGAAAAAAATGGCCTATCCGGCCCTCGATCATTTTTACCATAAAGCCCGAAGAGGTTGCTTCTGAACGATTTTTTAAAATTCCACAGGCTACGACGGGCAAGGACGGGCAACAATGGGCAAAGCTGGGCACAGCAGCTAGTAGTTAATAAAGGTCTTCTCTATATCTCATTATTCTCTTGAATTACATTTTACTAATTGATCGTGTTCAGCTTTGTGTCTAGAAATGAATTACTTTCTTACTCCGTGGCACAATTTTCTTCTAAAAACAATTTTTTTTCCCCAAGAATTTTTATGAATAAAAATATAAGTATACAGTTTTTTTTTAAGGGTTATATTCGCTGAATTGGGGAGAGTAAATGATGAAATATTTAGGTTCAGCGTATCAAAAAGAATGAAAAAGTTGTAATTCTGATGTGGCATTAACAGTCATGTTCATCCTTGAAATCATATTTATATTTGGAAACAACATGGTGTTCCCTGATAATTGTATGGCTTATATTTTTAGGACAATTAGGAGAAAATCTCTTTTGCTCGTTATATTTGAAGTATTTTCATTTGGTTTAAATCTGTCTGATCAAATTCAAAAATTTCAAAAATTGAAATATAAAGAAAATACGTTTTTAAGAATAATTTTACTTTTAACAAAAATATAAGAGAAATCCCCATAACTGGATATTATATTATCATTATTTGCTTGTTTAAACAGAAATCCTTAGATTATATCAATCATTTTTTAAAACCTTTTTAACAAGGCACAAATGTGTGGATCTCCGCCTAATTGTAGTGGTACATGTCATGGCATGCTATATTCCTTCAAGATGTTTTATGACTGCCATCTAACTACCTCTTGTTGCATATATAGTACACATTCAGGTGTTAAGTTTTACAATTTATTAAGTTTTACAGCTTTTAGCATAAAACATTAAATTTGTGAATTTGTTATATATTTTTGAAAGTTTTGTATTTCATATCCGAAGTCGGGTACTCCAGCTGTACAAAGCAGAACGTGCTGTGGTAAATATATCATACTCTAGCCTTTAGTAGAGATGGGCTTAGTTGTTTTGAACGAACTAAATTTTTCGTGGAGAAGGGTGTCGTTCAGATAAAAACGAACTATGGACAAACAAAAAATATCGTTCCGAGAAATGAAATATTATTGTTGTTTAAAAACGAACAAAAAAATAACAATTTAAAATCGTTTAAACAAACTTGAAAACAGGATTTTTTTTAAATGAAGGAAAGAATATTCCAAAAGATTTTAAAGAACGATTGTTTTTTACTGAATGAGCTATTTTTAATGAACGAACGATTTTAATAAACAAATGATTTCACTCAACGAACAATTTTACTGAATGAACGATTATACTGAACGATTGTTCAGTGAGAAAACAAATGAAATAGATGGAAAATGAACGATAAGTTTAAGGACAAACGAAATAGGTCATTCACGAACAATTAACGAACCAAATGAAAAGGTCAAACGTGCCCGTCTCTAGCCTTTAGTACATCTCTCTGCTCTCTTATTTCTGAGTGGGACCATTAGCAGACCTTTGAATTGCTGTTAACTCTATGGCCCTAGGATCGATTTGATTCTTTCTCCCCAGTTTAGGGAGACTCCAGTTTCGTTGCAATGCATACTTCTTGACTTGAGTCAAAAAATAATTGGTTGACTTCTTGCCCAAGGCAATATATGCTACTATTCCAGTAAGCAAAATTGATGAGGCAATTACTCCAAGGGGAATAGTTTGTTTTACTTTCTGTAGGGTTGATACAATAACAATAGTCAGTGTACCAATAAAAGCGCCTTTAAACGTCGTTTTGAGGCTGATTATACTTTTAGAGTGGTTGGTCTCTGCAGCAACAGTAGCTTGACTATGGTGGGTCTTCAGGTGATACTTGATGTAGAGGAATGATCCAACAACTGTTATCAGACAGATGATGACTATAAAGAAGTGAGCAATGTTGTATCGGCTAACAGACAGAGTCGCTGTTCTTCCAGTTATGTAAGCATTAAATGGAGATATGTAACCTAAAATATTTACTTATAAGGCATGGTTAATTCTGTGATGGGTATAAAATATTCACTACGCCAGACCTCAGACTAACACAGACTGCTCAAACGCTAGAAAATACGATATTTGCCCCCAGTAGGTTCCATTGTGTACAACTGGATAACACGGTCAATCAATAGACATCTGTATTCAGGGATAATTAAGGATACAAAATCTTAACAAATAGACTAAATTAATAACTTTTATATTTTATGTTAAAAGTTTTTCTTTAAAATTATAAACCTTATCCGCTGAATAGACATTATTTGCATGTAATAAAATTAAATATTATCTATCTTAGTAAACCCTAACCTTGTAAATATATTTTCGTATTTGAATGCGCTGACCGCTACGAGAACATTCCGAGAAGTAGTAGTTTAAATATTGGTTCCAAACCTTGTCTTATTATGGACAGGAAGAGAGTATAGAGTTAGTTGTACACTTTGTGTACTTAAAGTTTATCCGGAGATACTGGCTATATTTGTAACATGCAACATGTGGCCCTCAGATGGCATTTAAAAAACCTCTCATGGAAATGTAGCAGACGTGCCGGGACAACTATAGACCTGCTTACCCTATATAGGTAGAGAAATTCTGAGTGGTCTGTGTTAGTCTGTGCGGTAAACTTAGCTACTTAGCTGATGGGATTAGATGGGTTAAAAACACAGATTAGATATTAATAGAGGTTCAGTGTACTAAGAAGTACAGCAGGCAAGCTGTGCAAAAATGTTAAAAAAAAAACTTGCAGACCCTGCAGTATGTGTACTACATGAACCCCGCTTCCATTTGGAATCAAGGTTTCGTGAGATGAGTTGGCTGAGTGTCTATGTTTGTCTATGGTTAATCACCTGTATCATGCACAATGAAGGCTAATTAATTCATTATCAGGTGCGCAAGGGATATCAAAATGGGAAAAGGAAAAATTTGACCAGCCCACATTTCCAAGTCTGGGAAGAAATAATCATCATTGGAAAACTATTGGAGACCCCTTTTCATTGAAGACTCCCATGGATGTGTCTTTGGAAAACCTCAGATTTTCATTGGAGACCCAATAGTTGTGTTGGCGACCTCGGATTCTCGTTGGAGACCCCAATATTATCATTAGAGGCCCCATATTTTCATGGGAGACCCAAGATTTTAATTGGAGACCCCCATATTTTCCTTAGAGACCCCAATATTCTTGTTTGAGAACCCCAGATTCTTGTTGGAGACCCCCATATTCTCATTGGAAACCCCAAGATTTTCAATGGAGACCCCATATTTTTGTTGAAGACCCCCAGATTTTCGATGGGGACCCCCAGATTCTTGTTGGAAACCTTCATATATTTTCATTGGAGACCCCCTAATTTTCATTGTAGACCCCATATTTTGGTTGGAGACCCCCATATTCTCATTGGAGAACCCCAGATTCTAATTGAAGACCCCTATATTTTCGTTGGAGAACCCCAGTTTTTGGTTGGAGACCCCAGATTTTCATTGGAGACCCCAGATTTTTGTTAAAGATGAAAATTTGGGGGTCTCCAACGAGATTATTAGGGTTTCAAACTGAAATATGGGGGTCACCAACGCGAATCTGGGGGTCTCCAATGAGACATTCATCGGGTCTCCAATAGTACTCCAATGATGATGATTTCTTCCCAGACCCCACATTTGTTAGAATTACAGAGCATTTCAAACTACGGCTTGCTTAACTGTAAAAAATGTGGATTATGTTAGATTTGTTGGAATCAACCATATTGCTTATATTCTATCAACATAGCACAATAATACCTTCTGAAATATGCCCAGGTAAGAGTGCTGAAGCTATGAAAAGATAGAAGATAGCGCTAACAACCACAATCTTAGATGTTGTTTCCTCAGGATCTAACTCTATCATATCATCGAACTGAAAATAGAATTACATTTTATCAGACTTCTTCTCTGTTCATTTTTCCTATAGATCACATTTTACTGAAAGCAAATTTTCTAAGATTCATTTCCATAGTAAACAGTTAGTCTTACCTTGATCACGAAAAGCAATCTGAGTATTGCAATAGTGATAACAAATCCAATATTAGTGAAAGTTATGTAGTCCATTAAAAAGTTTATTCCAAGTGCTACTGTAGGAGGAGTATAGCTGACCGCAGAAGAGAACATTATTGCCCCACACTGAAGAGAAAAAAAGGAAATTATTCTAAAGATTTGGATGCTGAGGTTGCATACATAAATTATGAAATCATGTGAATCAAAATGGCATCATCTCTGAATGCCATTTTATCTCTCAAAGTTGTTATAGAAGGCAAAAATGTTTTCCTGAAAGGATATTTTCTTATAGAAAATCCATATCAATGTTAAAAAAGCCTGAATCAAGGCCAAAGATAATTTTAGATTTAACTTAAAGAAATACTAAACATACTTTTAGATGACTCCCCATTTATGAGTGGCATGGCTGATGCACAACCATACCATAATAAACCTTGTTGGATAAAAATAATGGTGTTATCCCTTTTATTTTATTATTTATACTGACTTGTATAGTTATCACCAGGTTAACAAGCTCGACTGAGTAGTGGTTCATGATTGCTATCATGTTCTTCTGGATTTGAGGGACAGACCACTTGTAGATTCTAACAATATGCATGAAGAAGTTGCTCGTCAAGGCCAATATGAATCCTATTACAAAAACAATTGGATCTGGTTCAAATCTTGAAGATGGGGTTTGATCAAATGTTTTCCCAGGACCTTCCTCTGGCTTTTTCTTTTTAGTTTTGACCTTTCTTTTATTTTTACTTTCTCTGTAACTATTGGTATCGTTTACTGGGCTTGTAATTTTGATCTCATCATGAAACTGGTTTTGATTATTATTTCGATGTCTATCTTCATATTCTTTGCTTCCCTTATCTTTATTTTCATTTTCTTCTTGAGAGGTGTATTTCTCCTGGTGATTGGTATATTTTTTCTGGAGAGATTCTCCTTCACAATTCTCCCTGGCTTCTGTTTCACGGTTCCTGTTACCTTTAGCATTAGCATCATCTACATTTCCATTAGAATTCTCATTTCTAGTTTCATCCAAATCTTCATATTTATTCACAGTGAAATCTTTTATTTCTTCTTCAATTAAATCTTCAATAACTGCAGTTGAATCATTTTCAGCATCGACAGAATCTTTAGCTTTATCTTCAGCTATCCTTTCTGGGGTTTTGTCTTTTTCATTTTCATCTAAATCTTCATTAATAGCTTCAGAATCAGAGTTAGTTTCTTCTTTACCTGTAAATTGATAGGAATCTTCTTCTTTAGTTTTGTTAGTGTTTTCATCAATTATTTCATCCTCATTCTTATTTTCAGATTTATCTAAATTTTTATCTTTAGAAACTTCTGAGCCTTTATCTTTAGCTCCTTCTGAACCTTCGCTTTTTACTTTCTTTGAAACTTCATCCTTGATACCATTTGTGTTCTGTTCAGCATGTACCTTTGTACCATTTGTGTTCTGTTCAGCATCTATACCATTTGTGTTCTGTTCAGCATGTACCTTTGTACCATTTGGACCATTTAATGGATTTGGAATGACAGAAGTGACACAAAAGATAAGAATGATGTTCATGCTGAGAAAGTGTGCATTGGAATATCATATTATGGACTAATCTTCTTCTTTTATATGGGATAATAAGAACAAAAGAGGCTTTCAGAAGATCAAGTATTTACCAACGTGTTTTAAGGGTGAGAAAGCTTCTTATTTCTCTTTTTTCTTAGATGTTGGATTACCACGTTTTTTCACATTAACTAACAAACAATAAATAAAAAAAAACAAAAACAAAAAATATCGATCTTTATATTTATAATAACATATTTTGCATTATAAAATACAAGATACAAGATAATACCAACAGCTGGTTCAAATTTGAACCACAGATACGAAATCAATGATTGTGGAAGAATCCTTGATTCAAATTTGAACCGGTGGTAGGAAATTAAAATTCCAAGTCCCAGAATGCATGAAACAGGAGCCGTACAACTGGATACAGAAAATATAATACAAGTACATGGTTACATGAAGGAACAAGGTACAGAACAAAGAACAAGAAAGTTAGAAAACAGGATACAGAATACAGATACATGAAATGTAATCTAATATCAAACAAATGTTTAACAAGGAATAAATCCTCTTAGGATAGATTCATGGTTCATATGTTGGCAGCAATACAAAATTGACAATAATGGTGGAATAATTTTAGTTAAGATTTGGAGAGGTTCTATCAGCATTTTTTGGAATTTATTATTGATTCTTTTGTGCACTCTTGTTTATTGCTTAGCACTGTTGTTTGTTTGATTATAATGCCAAGTAAATATATAATGATACTGTATAGTAGATTAGGGCTGGGCAAAGTTCAGTTAACAAATGGCAAAACTGATATTTTTTTTAACAATGATTAACCAAAATAGCCATTTTTAAGAGAAAAAATAAGGGTTGAAAAAAACAGCGACTTTTGTTCTTTTTTTTCTGCGCCAAATTGCATGAAACTTGCAGAAAAAATATAATTTGTTATGTATTTGGATGTTTTAAAACGCCATCTTCTGATTTTTCCTTCACTTATTTGTGGAACTATAAAATTTTATGCATTTTGATGGGTTTTGTAACATGTTTAGATGTTTGTCTTAATTTTGTCCTGCCATGCTACATAAAAAAGTTGTACATGGCTTATTTCTAATATATCTGCCGTTAACGCTCTTAATAAAGTTGTGATCGTTAAGAAACAGTAGCTTTAAAAAAGGGAAAAACCGTTAACAAAACGAAAATTCCGTATTAGCTAAAAGCGAACAGCTACCTGAAAAAAAAACAGTTTAAATATACTGTTAACGAAACGAAATATACTAGAAACATAATTTCAAGCGTGCCCAGCCCTACTATAAACATAATTTCAAGCGTGCCCTGCCCTACTATAAACATAATTTCAAGCGTGTCCAGCCCTACTATAAACATAATTTCAAGCGTGTCCATCCCTACTATAAACATAATATTAATTGAACCTCCATTGAGTTCAACTGTCTCTCACTTTTTGTTTTCAAATGTGATCCCCGTGTACTACTGAGATTTCAGTATTTTCAGGAGTAAAACTACAAACAAAACTTTTGAAAAGTTTTATTAATTTATAATTTTATAGTTATGCGTGCAATAACACCTTTTACAAGAAAATGAAACTATTTTTTGAATTTGAAATTATTTAATGAATACTTTTTAAAACGGTTGCCAACGTAATATCAAGTGACCCTTTATGCAAAGACGACAATGCCCAATTCACCGCGGCCTACCCTTAAAAGCTTGAGCCGATTAATAATAACTGGGATATCAATTTACATAGTTTTGAAAATGATTTTTTTTCTTTAGTAGTTTTTCTTCAAAAATGCCTTGGGCATTTGTACAGGGTGTCCCACGAAACATGACAGTTGGTGAATAGTTTTAAATGTCTTCTTCCATAATTTGTTAAGTTGTTTGATACAAAAGAGAATAATAAAAAATATAATATGACATTCATAGTAAAATTACTTTCTTTAAGTAATATATATTCTAGTAAAAGATTTGTTTAACGAAATATACTGCAAAAGTGATTTAATATCTAATACAGTATATGGAAGAAGACATTGAAAACCATTTACCAACTGCCATGTTTCGAGGGACACCCTGTACTATAGGAAAACATATAGGAGTTGTCAGAAATTAGCAATCGATAAATCAACAATTTTTTTCAACATCAGGATCAGATAAAGGTTTCAACATTTTACACTTTTAAACCCGATAAATCAATATTTTTTTTCCACAATATTAATCAGATAAATATTTTAACATTTAAGATATTTGAACTCTAAAAAGAATTGAGATTGCTGTAACCCTTTTAACATTAAAAAAGATATTTCGTTATATGTTCAACAAAGACGACTGAAACGTGTGGAGAAATTAAGAAGAGACGCCCCGCTATGTTCTTAACTTGCACCTGTTCAACGTACTTCCGGTTCCGGTAATACAGGCAGTACCATTGTCATCAATCAAAATAAAAGCATGAATATTATTCATAATATTCAGAGATGTTTTGTTTTGAATTTCTAAGCTGAAATCAAAGAAAGGTGCTGAAACTCATTTTCAACAGATTTCTTGTAAAATGGTTCTCCACAGCGATCCACACACAGCAATCAAATGTATGCAATAACTTATCAACAACTATACAACAACTATACAACAACTATACAACAACTATTCAACAACTATACAACAACTATACAACAACTATTCAACAGCTATTCAACAACTATACAACAACTATACAACAACTATTCAACAACTATTCAACAACTATACAACAACAATACAACAAATATACAACAACTATACAACAACTATTCAACAACTATTCAACAACTATACAACAACTATACAACAACTATACAACAACTATACAACAACTATTCAACAACTATTCAACAACTATATTCAACAACTATTCAACAACTATACAACAACTATTCAACAACTATACAACAACTATACAACAACTATTCAACAACTATTCAACAACTTTACAACAACTATACAACAACTATTCAACAACTATTCAACAACTATTCAACAACTATTCAACAACTATTCAACAACTATTCAACAACTATACAACAACCATACAACAACTATACAACAACTATTCAACAACTATACAACAACTATACAACAGCTATACAACAACTATACAACAACTATTCAACAACTATTCAACAACTATTCAACAACTATTCTACAACTATTCAACAACTATTCAACAACTATTCAACAACTATACAACAACTATACAACAACTATACAACAACTATTCAACAACTATACAACAACTATACAACAACTATACAACAACTAATCAACAACTATTCAACAACTATTCAACAACTATTGAACAACTATTTAACAACTATTCAACAACTATACAACAACTATACAACAACTATTCAACAACTATTCAACAACTATACAACAACTATACAACAACTATACAACAACTATGCAACAACTATACAACAACTATTCAACAACTATTCAACAACTATTCAACAACTATACAACAACTATACAACAACTATTCAACAACTATTCAACAACTATTCAACAACTATACAACAACTATTCAACAACTATTCAACAACTATTCAACGACCATTCAACAACTATTCAACAACTATTCAACAAATATTCAACAACTATTCGTTTAACTGTTTTTCAACACTTTGCTATATTTTTTTTAGTTCCGCTGATGTGCAGCAGTTCAACTCCCTGCGACAGTTCATCTCCCCCAACTGTTTTGACCATTTCAACACAATTTTATGCATTAAAATCTATGTAATGACACTAGCCGATGCTTGTTGATATATTTAGATAGAAAACACGTAACAAATAAGTTAGACGACATTTCAGATGATCAAAAACTCTTTTTGTGATTTTCCCTTTCAATAATACATTTTAGAACTTGTGTGCATTTATTTATGTAAACTAATGATTTCAAATGTTTTGACATGTTTTATGTCTAAAATTGTGTTGAATTATGGGGAGATAATCACAACATTGTAGGGCAGGGGCTGCCGGGGCACCTCTCTTATTAGATTTCTGTTCATAAAGTTCTAGGTTTAGGACTACGTAAACACTTTGGAGTTTGGAAAACCCAAAAAGAAAACTGTAGGGGGTCATTTAAATGTAAATTATTCTTTTGTTTCTTATACAATAATGGAGAGCTAAAGTTAACGGAGAGAATTACGAATATTCGAATATAGTTTTACGCCTAACGGAAGGATCGGAGGACAAAACGTTAGTTAGCCCCTTCTAAAATTCAAAACTATATACTAAAGTACATATTCGAGTCTTTGACGATACAAAGAGCTGGAAANAAGAGTATCTTTTGACCCCCCCTTTTCTAGAGGCTAACTTAAAAGTTTACTGTAGATTTTAAGTTTTAACCAACGCTGTAAGTAATTGAATATGATTCTTTCCTATCTTAAAAATTAAGTTTATCGTGATTTCAGCATTGAAACACATTATAGTTTTTATTAACATTACAGCAACACCAAACCGAAATTTTGTGACATTTTTCAGAAATTTTACAGAAACAAAATTGTTTACTACTTGGAATTCTTATTATCATGTTTAAAAAACAATGTTTACAAAAATCAGAAATGAATTCCTGAAATGTTTTGTAATGATAAAAAATGTATAAAAACACTAATACAAATGAAAATTTTAATTTGAAGCAGACATTCAATACGTGGGTATTTTTTAAACTGTGTTGCTTTCTTGAATTCAAATCAAATTACAGAATATAAAAATATTTAAAATTAACCGATTTAGATCAAAGAAAACACATCTTTTTAACATAACTTATTTTTAACATAGATGGCCCAATTTTTAATATGTTTGACCTCGCAAAATGTATTGATATCCGTTTTTGTAAAAAAAAAAATGCATTTCAAATTATGCCTTAAAATTCGAAGAAGAATACTAAAATGATTTTTAAAAATTTCACGAAATTGCACACCCTTAAATGAAGTGTTATGATGTAAAAGTTTTTTTTCTAAAATGAGATTCCTGACCTTCTTTACTTGCTATCCTTTTATATGTCTATATTTAGCTTGCCTGAGATGCCTGAGTGAAAAATTTGAACGTACAGTTCTAAGGTGGCAATATTTTTACATATTTTAAGAATAAGTAAACCCCTCCTCACTCACAAGTTTCGCTCGGTGCACCCCCCTCTTATCCCAGGTCAACCCCCCTTTTCAAATAGCTGGATCCGCCCCTGTAAAGCAACTATAGACTGAAGGCTTGCAATTAGTAATAGATACATAAAGATGGAGTACTAATCCAATGATAACTATAATAATATTATAATTATATTCTATGATTTAGCCGTTTAATGTGTTTACTGGTTGAATCTACTATTTTAAATCTAAATTGGGCTTTTAAGATTTAAGAATATAGCAAAAGTAAAGAAGATTAAAAAAGTTGTTACATGTTGTGCGTAAGCTCTAAATGACATGTATATGCAATACATGCACAATTGTTAGCCAAAAAAATTTGTATGCAAAAAATAAATAATTTTAATTTTTCAATAACGATTCTGAGAAAATTTGCAACGAGTGCATTCTTTAACTTCTTCCGTTTTGTTACATCAAACCTACAATTCCGCATAATTTTTAACGTGCCCTACCTCCCCCCCCCCCCTCCCACATTTGACAGATTCCACATAAATTCTGGGAAAAATCACTTTCTGCATGACATTGGACGGCTGGACAAACAACAGGGATTCCGATTTTCTCATTTTTTTAAACAGGAAACAGAGTTTCCGATTTTTTCTGCATATTATAGAAACAAGAAACAGGGTTTCCGCTATTTCATTCTTGTAAAAAAACAGGAAACAGGAGTTTAAATATAGTTTTTATTTTTTTTACGTTTGAAAAACAGGAAATTTATCTCTTCTTAGCAGTAGATCTTCTTACAAAATGAGAAGACCATATGAAAGATTTCAATTATGAAGTGGATTAATTTTGTTCATTGTGTTTTATCCAAAGAGAATAGAATATATATTAGAGAGGAATTTAGAGAATCTCTCGGTATGAATTTTTCAGTCCCTTTCAGCCAAAAAGGGTTTTCAAAGTGTACAAATCATGTAAATGTTCACAAATTATATATTGCAGTAGAGTACATTATTATAGTATGTTCCCTAGACTATCCAATTCAATTTCAAATTTTTTAAAGTGTTAAATAAACTTTATAATGAATTAGGTGAATAAAAAACATCATTTGATTTATAGTTATAACGGAAAATCATCATTTGTAAAGTGAAAGGCATTGAGTCTATATGAAATGATCATTAGTCAATTATGCAACCTGCCTATTTCATAATTTGGTTTTCTTTTAATATTAATTTTAGATTTTCTATAAAATGATATTCCAGGGCCCAAAAGGTTATATAGCATAAGTATGTGAAGTACACCTGCAGTATGGAAACAGTACAACAAAATGGCCGTTTTACACTTTTTTGTAGTAAATTCCCCTCTAATAGTTATTCTGTTCTCTTTGGTTTTATCAAACGGATGATTTAGCCCCCCCCCCTGAACACCCTTGTCCCTCCCCTACAATTAGCAGAAGAGATATATACCTAATTGCAGGGGTTGGGTGACAATACCGTGGAGAATCTTTTTAAATCATTTGCAACACTAGAATGCAATCGTTAAAGGGACTGTAAGCGTAATTTCAGGTGACTTTCCTTGCAAAGATGGCAACGCCCATTTAACAACGGTATTCTTAAAACATTTATCTGATGAAAAATGTTGTCACTTTTCTGGGATTAAAACTGTTAATTTCTGATAATTCCTGTAAGTTTTTCCTCCAAACCATGTAGAAATGTTCAAGTTACTTTTGCAGAGACAAATTTAACCTTGATCAGACAATGCTTTTAAATATCCTGTTGTAAATCGGTCACTGCCATATCTTTGCATGTAGGCTCAATTGATACTACGCTGACAGTTCCTTTAAATGGATTGTTTACCTTTATGAATCATATTTGCAACACTAAGAGTACAAGTATTAAACAGGTTGCTCGCTTTTTTAAATCTTCTATAACACTACAATACAGGCATTAAAGGGATTGTTCAGTGTTCATTCTTTGGAAAGTACATAAAAGTATTCTGTTCTATTGTTCTGTTGTAAATTAGACAATGCCATCTTTGCATGGAGGATCACTTCATAATACATTTACAATCCCTTTAAAAAGCCATTTAATTTTATTGGACAAAATCTGTTACTAAGACAGGAAAGCATATCCAATTTGTTTATCGGCAGAACATTTTATGAGTATGCCGCGCTGGAAAGAAGACGACATTTAAACATCGTTTCTTACCATCTAGCTTTATCGTTTCTCCCTGTACAGTTTAACATAATTTATGCTCTGAATTGAAACAACAATACTAATGGATAAACGTTGAATAAAAAGTGTGATTAGTCGGGAAATTATACAAGGCCAATATTAACAAACAATGAAATAAACAAATAATTAATGGTTTACAGTTGTACTTGTCACAAATCTAGGTTTGGCTTTTAACAAATGTGCAATAACGATTGAAAATTTATAGTTAATTGCCAAAAATATAGGTTCTAAAGTTGTGACTAAATGGGCTTTTTTTATCAGGAGTCAGGACCTCTTATTTACCGTGAAAGACGGCTTTGTGACAAATCTAGGTTTGGCTTTTAACAAATGTGCAATACCGATTGAAAATCAATAGTTAATTGCCAAAAATATAGGTTCTTAAGTTGTAACTAACTGGGCTTTTTTTAATCAGGAGTCAGGACCTCTTATTTACCGTGAAAGACGGCTTTATTTTTCATATTGCTACTCCGTGCTCAGATAACGTATCATACATGTCATTCTTTTTAAGTCCGGGGTTACTTAAAAGTTCGTTGACGGTCCCTTTGATAATATTTGTATGAAAAGGAAGAAAAAAAAGAATGAATGCATTGAAAATCTATAATTAAAGTAAATACACACTCTATAGGACCTTAGCTTTGTATTGAATACTACAGAAAAAAAATCTTTCTCGAATTTCAGATGACAAGTTTTTTTTGTTTTTAAAGATTAATTTAGAAACTTTAAAGGTTTCATGTTTAACTACACAAAAGTACAACAAATTATATTCGAACTGCTTGGTTTTGTTTGCAACATGTTAAGTTTAAATAAATTAAAATGTAATAACATTTGCCAGTAATTTTAGATAGTTAATGTTTTGATTTGTTTTTATCATTTTGGAAATTTTTAATCCAATTCAAGTCTCTACACGTCTGCATTTATTTCAGGCAGTTCATTTTTGTTTTCCTCACAAATTTTAATTTTCTAATCCACAAATATTTGCAACCTAATGGCATAACCCTTTGATATTTCAAACTTAGACTTTTTGTTCTAACAAAATTCAAAGTTTGAAATATCAAAGGTCTACAATCTCGGGTTGCTAAGATACAGGGATAACAAAATTTGAGTTTGCGGCAAAAACTCATTTCCTTTAGGCCTTTATGATGAGACACCAAAATTTAAACCAATCGTTTTTCCTAAATTTTTTTTTTTCAAATTCCATACTGGAATTAAGCAAATTTCAAAATAATTAGTTAAACAAGTTTTTGTCATGCATAGTACAAATAATATTGTTCACCCTTTTAGTTCATTGTTGGTTTGATTTTTGTTCTTAGGATCTAAATTTGGCATAGTATAAGAAAATATATGATTTTAAACTTTATTCTAATCATATGATTCTCATGAACTATGCAAAATTCGACTCAGACAGAAAGTATATATTTTTTAAAAAGTAATCAAAACTAACTTAAAAAACGAA